AAAAAAAAAAAAAAAACAGCCCTAAAGTTTATCTTCTCACTTGCAATCAAGCGTCTGAATGGACCTCAGAGAGGGAAGTCATCTGCTTCATTCACGGGCATCCATGGTTTTGGGGTTTAAGCTTTAGGTTTCAAGGTCTAGTATTAGCTTCAAGTTTCGGATTCAATGATTTAGGTTTCAGATTACGAGCTTGAGTTGTGAGCCTTAAAGGAACCCAACCCCAAGTCTCCAAGGACTCATATTTTAAGGCNNTTTGGGCCTAAAGACCATACTATGTAAGGCTTTTTAGCCTATGTTGAGCCCTACAGGAACCCTAAACTTCAACCCCTAAACACCTTAAACCCGAAATCCTAAACCCTTAATAGCCCGAACTCCCGATGGTACCTTTAAGGTTGAAGGAACCCTGAACCCGAAATCCCAAAAAACCCTAAGCTTCCCCAAAACGCCTGAAGGAACATTTCAGGGAACCCTAAAATCCTGAACCCTTAAACCCTAAACCCAGCAAGTCTTAGGGTTTAGGGTTTAGGGTTCACCAAACCCTCAAGGAACGTTTTAAGAAACCCGAACCGAAAGCTTCGACCCGAAACCCGAAAAAATATGGCCGGGGAACTGAAGAAGCTGTGGATCAATGCCCAATCGCCACTGCACCACCTCGCTGTCATCCTGCTGGGGGGTTGTCAGGGCTTGGGGCTTTGGGTTTGGGGTTTAGGGTTTACACGGTTTAGGGTTTAGGGTTTAGGGTTTAGGGTTTAGGGTTTAGGGTTTAGAATATGAGTAGGGTTTAGGACATTGGGGTTTGGGGGTTTGGGGGTTTAGGGATGTTGGGGCTCAGAGTTTTGGGCTTTGAGGCTTTGTGGCATCAGGCATAATTCGAGCTTTTGGAGCGCAGGGCTTGAGGGTTTAGGTGTCAGGGTTCACTTAGGGTGCCACTGCGAATTGCCTTGCATTTGGCTCCTCTTAGTCTGTATACTTTCAAGTTTCCCACAATCCAAAAATACATATCACGTGGAAGATACGTTCCAAATGAACCCGCAAACAGCGGGCAGGGCACATAAATAAATAAATAAATATATATATATATACGCATATAATATAAGGCGAATTCCACTGAGTGTGCATGTTGTTCTGCTCGAAGAAATGCCGACTCAAGCGATCGAGCAACTCAGCGATTTCCCCCGCCCAAATCAAAGCACGGCTGCACCCCGTGCGGGCTAGTTTCCACGGCCTGTTTTGCAGAGCGATTTCAAATCTCTAGCCCGGGTAACACACTGCGACAGTGACTGCAAGAAGAAGGTACATCGTTAGGCAAGAACCGGTGGAACTTCACCGCATTTTAGGCAAGCATTCCGGCATCCAAAAGGTGTCTGCAGAGTCTGCAATCACTGCAGGTGGAGCATCCATCTCGTCGCAAGCATTGTAGGCCTCGGCTCCACACAAACCTCCCATCTCGTGAAACGTGAGCCACGCTCCATCATCTTTTGATGCAGTCGGCGCGGCGGGCTCCACTTTGTGGAGGTTCCCAGAGGGTCCAAGTATTAATATGGTAGCTACTTTGTAGGTATTTGGGCCCCAAAAGTATATGCTATACTATACCTATAGGACCCTTTGGGTTATTCGAGCTTAGGGTTTAGGGTTATACATTACTATGGCTTGGACCCTTTGGGAAACCTGAGCCACAACAGGCCGCCGCCTGCCAGGGCATGGGCTTCAGGATGGCTGACCACACCTCGAGACGGGATATTACCCAGACCCCAAAAGGATCTAAAAAATAGATCCCCTAATTAGGGACCCTAGCTACTAAAGGGTACTTTATAGGAACCCCGTTAGGGGATCTATTTTTTAGATCCTTTTGGGGGTCTGGGTATGGGAGTGATTTAGAAGGGGGGCCTTGCATCCTTACAATTATCGGCTTTTGGGGCATGTTATTCTATAACTTGTATGATCTTGGGGCAAAAGGGAACAGGATGGCAATACATACTTCTTCAAACTCCGATATAGTAAACCCAAAAAATTGGAAACCCGATTAAGGACAAATAGTGCTGGGATTCCCTATACATGAGTCTTAAGGATTGAGGCTATTGGGTTTCCAACTTTTGGGCTTCTACTATACTTCAAGATCCAAACCGCGAGCTCTGCAGATGCAGTCTGCAGACCACGAATCCGAAACCACCAATTCTAAGCGCTACGGCCATTTCATCGTTCAAGTCCAAATTGGGTGCCTGGTGTAAATTTTCAACAGCCCTAAACCCTAAACCCCAAACCTTAAACCCTCAACCCTGAACC